TTTGTTGAGGATGTCTCGAGCGAGACGCTGGTTTTGCAGAGTTGGGGATGTCTCGAGCGAAACGCTTGGTTTCAGAATTTGTTGAGGATGTCTCGAGCGACACGCTGGTTTTGCAGAGCCGACCGCGACACGGAAAAGCGCCCCTCGCGCAGGAATTCCAAGGATGTCTCGCGCGTGCCGCGTCCCGCGCGCGGGTATTTGGATTTCTTGGGATTTTGACAGGATGTCTCGAGCGAAACGCTTGTTTTTCATAATTTGTTGAGGATGTCTCGAGCGAAACGCTGGTTTTGCAAAATTGGAGGATGTCTCGAGCGGTGGCCTCGTGGGGGGCCAGAATTCAAAGGATGTCTCAGGCGAAATGCTTGTTTTCACGTCCCGCTCGCAGGAATTCCGAGGATGTCTCGCGCGTGCAGCGTCCCGCGCGTAGGAATTCAGATGATTTTGACAGGATGTCTCGAGCGAAACGCTTGTCCCCAGCACGTTCCGTAGCGCGTCCCCTTGGCAGGTCCCGCGATGCGTCCCCATGGCACGTCCCTTGGCACGTCGCTTGGCGCGTCCCTTGAGACGTTCTGCGTCGCGTCCTCCTGGCATGTTCCCCTGTCCATTAGCTCTGGGGCAGCTACTATGTGTTCAGGCAGCTCGAGCTTAAGATCCAGATCAGTTCGGTCAGGACTCGGATGCAAAGGAGGACTCGATCCACGAGGCTATAGAGCACAATCGCGCCATGGCACATCGCAATTCAGCACGGCGCAGCACAGCACTGATTTCGGCACGGTACATCAAGGTCGATGCACTCAGCATTGCAACTTGGCACGTTCCTTGGCACGTTCCGTGGGGCGTCCTTTGGCGAGTCCCCCTGGCACGTCGCGTCGCGCGTCCCCTGGCACATCCCGTGGCACATCCATTGGCACGTTCCGTAGCGCGTCCCCTTGGCACGTCCCGCGGTGCGACCCCATGGCACGTCCCCTGGCACGTCGCCTGGCGCATCCCTTGGGACGTTTCGCGGCGCGTCCTCCTGGCATGTTCCCCTGTCCATTAGCTCTGGGGCAGCTACTATGTGTTCAGGCAGCTCGAGCTTAAGATCCAGATCAGTTCGGTCAGGACTCGGATGCAAAGGAGGACTCGATCCACGAGGCTATAGAGCACAGTCGCGCCATGGCACATCGCAATTCAGCACGGCTCAGCACAGCACAGCCTTCGGCAGGGTACATCAAGATCGATACCTTCAGTATTGCATTTGCCCGTCACCCAATCAGGTGTCTTTGAAAACGCTGCCATGTGTTACAGTTCTACATTCCTTTCCGGGTTCGTGGGTCGATCATGTTATTTTCAGGCAGGCCGTGGGGTGCGAGCACCCGCAGCGTCAACCTTCTCCTCCTCCTCCTCCTCCTCCTCCTCCTCCTCCTCCTCCTCCTCCCCGTCCGCGTCCTCCCTGCTCCTCGGTTGGTCGATCGGGCACTGTCGACTTCGACTTCAATGCAGCAGAGTCTCAGCCCGGGGAGCCAAATGACAGTGGAGGGGGGGGGGGGGGGGGACACTACAGGTAAAGGTACCCTTAATTAGCTAGCACCCCCCGCAACACCCTCGCGATATCCTCATCGTCCTTTGTTCGATATCCTTATATCTACTTCCTGTTTTCCTCCGAAGCCTTGCTAGCTACTCCCTCATCCTCTATGTTTACCTGGCAAGGACTGACCTGGCGAGATCGGAAAGAGGGGGGAGGCGGCACAGGATGAGCTCCCCCTCCCCCTTCTCATCGTTTTCGCCGTCGTTCTCGCCCCTCATTCTTCAGGGACGCTGGATATGTCCCAAGCATCATGTGTTGAGTTGGGTCCTCGCTTTCAAGAGATAGTGCCCCGCGTCTCCTCCTCCTCCTCCTCTGTCTCCTCCTCCCCCTCCTCCTCCTCCTTCTCCTCCTCCTCCTCCTCCTCTTCCTCCTCCTCCTCCTCCTCCTCCTCCTCTCCTCCCCCCTCCTTGCCCTCTTCTTGTTCTCCGCATCAGTCTACCATGGCGGCACACCATCATACGCCTCGTAGCCCCATAGGGGGCTCCACCAAAGGTCCCAGTGGCGCAGTTCGTATGCGGTCCTGCCACCAATTTCGGCACACCCCATCACTTGCTTCGCGGCGCCACAAGGAGCTCCACCGAAGGTCCCACTGTCGCAGTTCGCATGCGGTCCCGCACCAGCTTCGGCACACCCCTCGCATGCTTCGTGGCCCCATAGGGAGCTTTACCGCGGGTCCGTGGCCCAGTTCGCATGCGGTCCCGCACCCATGTCGGCACACCCCATCATTGGTTTCATGGCCCCACAGGGAGCTCCACCGAATGCCCCAGTGGCGCAATCCGCATGCGGTCCCGCACACACACAACACAACACAACACAACACAACACAACACAACACAACACAACACAACACAACACAACACAACACAACACAACACAACACAACACAACACAACACAACACAACACAACACACCACACACAACACAACACAACACAACACAACACAACACAACACAACACAACACAACACACACACACACATGTCGGCACGCCCCTCACACGTCTCGTGGCCCCATATGGCGAATGGCCCAGTGGCGCAGCTCGCATGCGGCCCCGCACCCACGTCGGCACACCTCTTCATTCGTTCCGTGGCCCCAGAAGGAGCTCCGCCGACTGGCCCAGTGGCGCAGTTCGCAGGCGGTCCCGCACCCCTTTCAGCGCATCCCTCACACGTTTCGTGGCCCCATAGGGAGCCCCGCCGAAGGTCCCAGTGGCGCAGCCCACACGCGGTCCCGCGCCCATGTCGGTACACCCCTCACACGCTTCGTGGTCCCATATTGCGCCTTACCGAAGGTCCCGGTGGCGCAGTTCGCATGCGTCCCCGCCACCCATGTTGGCACACCCCTTCCTTCGCTTCGTGGCCCCATAGGGAGCCCCGCCGAAGGTCCCAGTGGCGCAGTTCGCACACGTCCCCGCTATCCATTTCAGCACACTCCATCATTCGTTCTGCGGCCCTATAGGGAGGTCCGCCGACTAGCCCAGTGGCGCAGTTCGCATGCGTCCCCGCCACCCATGTTGGCACACCCCTCACACGTTCCGTGGCCCCATAGGGAGCCCCGCCGAAGGTCCCAGTGGCGCAGTTCGCACACGTCCCCGCTATCCATTTCAGCACACTCCATCATTCGTTCTGCGGCCCTATAGGGAGGTCCGCCGACTAGCCCAGTGGCGCAGTTCGCATGCGTCCCCGCCACCCATGTTGGCACACCCCCCACACGTTCCGTGGCCCCATAGGGAGCCCCGCCGAAGGTCCCAGTGGCGCAGTTCGCACACGTCCCCGCTATCCATTTCAGCACACTCCATCATTCGTTCTGCGGCCCTATAGGGAGGTCCGCCGACTAGCCCAGTGGCGCAGTTCGCATGCGTCCCCGCCACCCATGTTGGCACACCCCTCACACGTTCCGTGGCCCCATAGGGAGCCCCGCCGAAGGTCCCAGTGGCGCAGTTCGCGCACGTCCCCGCTATCCATTTCAGCACACTCCATCATTCGTTCTGCGGCCCTATAGGGAGGTCCGCCGACTAGCCCAGTGGCGCAGTTCGCATGCGTCCCCGCCACCCATGTTGGCACACCCCTCACACGTTCCGTGGCCCCATAGGGAGCCCCGCCGAAGGTCCCAGTGGCGCAGTTCGCACACGTCCCCGCTATCCATTTCAGCACACTCCATCATTCGTTCTGCGGCCCTATAGGGAGGTCCGCCGACTCGCCCAGTGGCGCAGTTCGCATGCGTCCCCGCCACCCATGTTGGCACACCCCTCACACGTTCCGTGGCCCCACAGGGAGCCCCGCCGAAGGTCCCAGTGGCGCAGTTCGCACACGTCCCCGCTATCCATTTCAGCACACTCCATCATTCGTTCTGCGGCCCTATAGGGAGGTCCGCCGACTAGCCCAGTGGCGCAGTTCGCGTGCGTCCCCGCCACCCATGTTGGCACGCCCCTCACACGTTCCGTGGCCCCATAGGGAGCCCCGCCGAAGGGCCCAGTGGCGCAGCTCGCATGCGGCCCCGCACCCATTCGGCACACCCCTCACACGTTTCGTGGCCTCGAAGGGGGCTCCACCTAAGACGATGCTCACAACTGTGCTATCCACAACTGCATTTGGTCGTGTCTTTCGCAAGGCTATGTTTTATCTTCTGGTGCGTAACGGTTGTTACCAGGGATACCCCCTGGACCCCCCTCCCGGTAATGGGTGGGCCTGGCCCCCCCCCCTCCCACATGCTGGTGCTCGCGCGCATCTTCTGTTGATCGCAGCGCCCCCCCGCCCCGACCTGCCCCACCCCGACCACGCGTTACTGTTAGCCGGGGCCCCAATCACCCCCAGTCAGGACCGTTACCGGAAATAACAACCATATACCCCAGCAAAGACCTTCATAGCAGCAAATATGCGGAGGCGGGTCTAGGAGGTCGACTAGAGGTGATGGGTGAGAGCACGGTCATGTGCACCTTAGCGTATTTGTGACTAGGAGTCGTGGCCGCTTGGGCCAAACATCCAGCCCGCATGGAGGCGAGAGCACGATCCCCGAACAAAACGATAGAGAAGTCTCCGGCGAAACGGCCGCCTGACTAATTAGGCGGCCTAGGGCTCCCTGTGGGACTCCTCTGTGGTCCTATTCGCTACTGTTAGAAGCCCCTAGCGAAGCGCTGTTAGGTCCGAGGTGGATAGACCTCAAACCCTGACACGTCGATTAGCGAATTGGCCGTTTTCGGTTCGCGAGAGGGCGTCGGGGCCGTCATTTTTGCGGGTCCAGGCCCGTCGGTTTCGGTCCCAGGCCGTTTCTACTAAAGGGTGGTTTGCTCAAGGGAGGTTTGTCCACCGCCGAATCAGAAACCTCTAGCGAAGCGCTATTTGGGAACAATCTCCTGGCTGCATCTTCATCCTCGAGGCGACCCCCCCTCCTGAGACCGCACCCCCCCCTCTTCTGGGCGCCGCCCCGAGAGAGGTTCCCGCTGCCCGGCACCTACCACTTCCGCTTCCGCATGCGCTGGGAGCCAGGGCGCCTAGCGTGCAGGAGGAGGTGGAGAACGGCAGGTTCGTGACGTGCCGACGCGGCAGCGACTTGAGAGGCCTCTCGGGAGCCTTCCGGATGCGGTCCTGGGGTGCCTTGGGGGCCCGTCGGGGGCCTTTGGGGAGCCCCTTGGGGCCCGATTTGGACCTCTGGGGAGCCTTCTGGGACTTCTTGAGGGGCTCTTGGGTGCCTGCTGATGAGGATGAAGAGGAGGAGGGGGATGAGGAGGGGGAGGAGGAGGAGGAGGAGGAGGAGGAGGGAGGAGGAGGAGGAGGAGGACGAGGACGACGACGAAGAAGAGGAGCAGGAGGAGGAGCAGGAGGAGGAGGAGGAGGAGGAGGAGGTGCTCTTGGGGCGGAGGGCCTCACACGTCGGGTCGCGTTCCACCTCGTGGGAGCCCTCGTGGGGGGCCGCCTTGGGGGGACGTCTTGCCGTGCCGACGCGGCAGCGGCCCCGCCGGGGGCGTGCCAGGTCGACCGCCGCCACCGGCCTAGAAACGGCCAGTACACCTTAGGCGATGCTTAAGAAAACCTAAGTTTTCGGCCAGAGGCTCGATGATTCTTAATGTTTCAATGTAAATCCTAAGATTGTAATAGAAATGTTGGGTTTTAGTTCAAGTTCTGAGACGATGAATTTCTTAACCCATGATTTCTTAAGCATTTCGCAGGGTGTACGGAACGATTTGGCAATCGAAAAGCCGCCGATCGTTCCAGGTTGAACGATAGTTTTTTTTGATCTGCGGGTCGAGAGCGAGCCTCTTCCGATGGAAGCTGAGCGGGCCGCGCACAGCTTTGATTGGCAGAGGGAGGGCAAAAGAAGGCGGGGCCTCACGTCAAGGCCGGGAGGGGACGAAGCCCTGGGATCAGGCAGATTGAACGATCCACGCTGTGTCAGAAATTCAAGCAGAGCTTGATCGACGAAGCGTCGGACACGACGCGAGCCTGCCGTGCCCCTGTTGGCGCGTGGATGGGCGGCGGACTGCATTGAGGCGCACCTAGAAGCAGACAGTACAGTTGGGGCGCTGAAGAGGAAACTCTGTTCGTTGGGGAGGCGCTCGGTATTCCTTGATTGTTTCACAGTTTGCCTCAGGTGTCCCTTAGGTTTTCGATGGGAAGTCGAAGTTTAACTTCTGGAGAAAAGGGGCCTCGTTCCTAATTTTGGATTCCTTAGGTCAACGCCCCGACTGTACTGCGCAAACGGATTATTCGCAGCTCCGCCCCGATTTCGGTCTCACTATCGACTTTACTATCGATCTCATTATCGGTCTCGCTAGGTCGATTTCACTCGATCGGTATCACAATCGATACCATTCGATCTATTTCATTCGATCGATCTCACAATCGATATGACTATCAATATCACAATCGATCTCACAATCGATCTCACTATCGATCTCACAATCTATCTCACAGCTGGTCGCGCTATCGATATCACGATCGATATCACAATCGATCTCACACTCAACGTCATCATCATCATCGACATCATCGTCATCAATGTCATCAACATCATCATTGGGACACCATCATCATCACCTCATCCTCATCATCGTCAACATCATCATCACCATCATCATCATCGGGACACCTGCATCGTCACCATCATCATCACCAACATCATCATCGGGGCACCATCATCATCATTATCGGTTGCTACCATCATCATCATCCCATCATTCTCATCATGAACAACATCGCCAACATCATCATCATCGGGACACCTTCACCATCATCAGCAACATCATCATCATTATCATCAGCATCGCCGGGACACCATCATCATCGTTACCATCATGATCACTATAATCATCATCATCATTGGGACACCATCATCATCAACAACAGCATCATCACCATCATCATCGGGGCACCATCATCCAAATCAGCATCACCTCATCAGCATCACCATCGTCAACATCATCATCATCGAACACCATCACCGTCATCATCATCAACATCATCATCATGTGGACACCATCATCATCAGCACCATCATTGTCATCCACACCATCATCGTCAGTATCATCATCATCATGACACCGCCATCATCATCTTCATCATCACCATCTCATCATATCATCATCATCGACACCATCAGGCTCAGCAACTTCATCATCATCGGGACACAATCATCAGCAGCATCATCAGCATCATCAACATCATCATCATCATCGGGATTCCCTCATCATCACCACCATGGCAATCATCTTCATCATAACCATCATCACAATCATCGGGACACTATCATCGCCACCATCATCATCAACGTCATCAGCATCGGGACACCATCATCATCCTAATCATCATCGGAACACCACCATCATAATCATCCTCATCTCATCATCATCATGAACAACATTATCCACATCATCATCATCTGGACACCACCATCATCATCAGCAACATCATCCTTAACATCATGATCAGTGGGACACCATCATCATCGTCACCATCATCACCATCACCATCGTCATCATCGGGACACCATCATCATCAACATCAGCATCATTATCATCATCGGGCCACCACCATCAAAATCATCACCATCACCTCGCCATCATCCTCATCATCAACATCATCATCATCGGGACACCATTATCGTCATCATCATCATCATCATCGGGCCAACATCATCATCAGCACCATCATCATCAACAGCATCACCATCAACCTCATCATCATCGGGGCACCATCATCATCATCTTCATCATCATCATCTCATCATCCCACCATTCTCAACATCATCAGGATCATCAACATCTTCGTCATCATCAGCATCATCAACATCATCATCATCGGGACACCATCATCATCACCGCCATTGCCATCACCAGCATCATCATCCTCAACAGTGTCATCATCACCATCGGGACACCGACGGGGCACTTACGGGACACCGTCGGGACACCGCGGGGCACCGGTTGCCGGAAGGGAGAGTTTTGGTCCGGCCGTGCTTCGGCCAGAGGCGGGACATATCTCGCCCGCCCACGCAGCTTCGCCTCGCCCGCACGCACGGCACGCACGAACACGAAACCGAATTCGATTTCCCGGTAGGGGCGCTCTCCCTTCCACTTCGATCTCACCCCGTCACTTCCGATATATATATATATATATATATATATATATATATATATCACATATATTTATACATATGTATGAATATATATATATATAGAGAGAGAGAGAGAGAGAGAGAGAGCTATACGACCACCCTTCGGGTGATAAGGAGGTTCGGTCGGGGGGGGAGGAACCAACATGTCACTCGATCGGTCTCACTGTCGATCTCACTCTCGATCTCACTAACGGTCTCGCTCGGTCGATCTCACCCGATCGATCTCACAATCGATATCGTTCGATGTATTTCATTCGATCGATCTTACAAGCGATATGACTATCGGTTCCACAATCGATTTCACAAACGAACTCATTATTGATCTCACAATCGATCTCTCATTCGGTCTCATTATCGTTCTCACCATCGATGCCACAATCGATCTCACAATCAACGTCATCATCATCGTCATCAACGTCACCAACATCATCATCATCATCGGGACACCATCATCACCACCTCATCACTATCAGCAACCTAATCATCATCACCATCATCATCATCGGGACACCATCATCGTCACCATCATCATCAACATCATCATCGGCACATCATCATCATCAGCATCGTGATCATTGGAACATTATCATCGTCATCATCATCACCATCTCTGTTTCATCATGAACAACATCAACAATATCATCATTTTCGGGACACCATCATCATCAGCATCATCATCATCGGGACACCATCATCATCGTCACCATGAGCATCATCACCATCATCATCTTTGGGACACCACCATTATCATCATCATCATCATCGGGCCACCATCATCAAACTCTTCATCATCACCCCGTCATCATCCTCATCACCAACATCATCATCATCGGGACATCATCATCGACATCATTATCAACATCATCATCCTCGGGACACCATCATGACCATCGCCATCCTCATCAACAGTATCAGCATCAACCTCATCATCATCATTGGGACACCATCACCATCATTCTCATCATCCGCATCATCATATTATCACCTCATCATTTTCAACATCCGCATGATCATCGACATCATCATCGGGACACCATCATCATCCGCAACATCAGCATCATCAACATTATCATCATCATCATCATCATCTTCGGGACACCATCATCATCACCACCATGGCCATCATCATCATTATAATCGTCAACATCATCATCATCATCATCATCATCGGGACACCATCGCCACCACCATCAGCATCATCATCATCAACATCATCGGCATTATCATCATCATCATCATCATCATCATCATTATCATCATCGGGGCACCGACGGGACATCGGCGGGACACCGCGGGCCACCGGACGCCGGTCCGGAATCATTTAGTCTGGCCGCGCCTCATCCGGAGGCGGGACACCGCGGGCCACCAGACGCCGGTCCGGAATCATTTGGGCGGGCCGCGCGTCAGCTGCGGGACACCGGCGGGACACCAGCGGGACACCGGACGCTGGTCCGGAATCATTTGGTCCGGCCGCGCCTCAGATACAGGAGACTTGCTTCTCGCCCGCCCACGCAGCTTCACCTCGCCCGCACGCACGGCACGCACGAACACGAAACCGAAATCGATTTCCCGGTAGGGGGGCTCTCCGTTCCACTTCGTTCTCACCCCCTCACCTCCGATATAAAGAGAGAGAGAGAGAGAGAGAGAGAGAGAGAGAGATCGAAGACGCCTACGACGAATCACCGCTGCCCCCTGCCTTTCAGGATACGCCTAGGTGGCCAAACGTTTGGGCAAAGTTTGGCCACGCTAGTGGACCGTGCGTTCCCCCAGCCGTTGTGGAAGCTTTTCGGAGAACACGTGGGGGAGGAAGAGGAGGATGAGGAGACGGAGGGGAAAAGCAGGGTGAGGAGAAGGAGGAGGAGCTCCTTGGGTCAATTTTTGGGGCCTTCTGGGAGCTTCCTGGGGGCC